CAAGAAGAACTGTGCACTGGTCAGGCGTCCTCTTCTCTTGGTCCACCCGGAACTCGATTCAAGGTGAACAAGGCTGCACCTCCCACAGCACAGATCACTCAGTCAGATTCACTTGTGCACTTGCCGTATTCGGCTCCTCCCACTGATGAGTATCCATGTGATATTTTTCTCTTCAGCAATTACAATGTGTGTGCTTCCTCACTGTTTAAATGATGGTACATCCTAAAGCCACTGCAGTTCACAGACGTTCAGCGAGAATTGAAGGTCTTCTCTCCACTTTCTGACGGTGATTTTACCGTGTCCGATCGTTCTGCTTCCATGACTGGCACTTCATTCCCCCCCGGCCTTCGTTTCCCCACGGCAGCTATTCTCGGGACGCACTTCATTGTCGCTGGCACCTATCTTTCACAGACCTACCAATCTTTCTCAATGTGGGCGCTGGATCTCATCAATATGACGTGGTCGCGCATCGACCCTGGCAGCGCACTCGCCATGGGCTCGTGGTTCCGAAGCTGCCTTTGGCCCGCCGCGAACAAGTTCATTGTGTTTGGCAACCGACATGGAAATCTCGTCGAGGATTACAATTGCCACCTCCTCAGCTGGGACCATGTGACGTGCATTGATCTGGAGGCCTTCGGCATCTACCAGCTGCCTTTTCCTGTGCTGGACGTACCCTCGCAAGAGCTCGGCCTTGCAGCCTTCGAGGAGGGTGTTCTCACTGATTTCGAGATCGTGTGCGATGATGGCCGCAAGATCAGGTGCTCGCGCAAGATGCTCGAAGAGCGCTGGCCATGGTTTAAGGAGCAGCAGAGGCGATTCATTCAGGCAGCGAAGCGAGAAGCTGAGGCGATGCCAACGATCCCAGAACACATTCCTCTTCCTGAGCTACCTGGCGGGTACGACGGGCAGGAGCCTCGTCCGGACCCACACCTGACCCCGCGTGCGTTCCACCTGTCGGAGCCCTACCCAATTACCCTGGCGCTCGTGCAGTACTTCTATTCAATGGCGCTGATCACGCCTCTGCAGCATGCGCCCGCGATCCTCACCCAGCTGATGCTTCTGTCGAGTATGTACGAGCTGGCCCACCTACAGTCACTCGTCAAGCATGCGATGCATCGCGCGCTGAGCTATGCGACATCGGTGGGCATATACGGGGTCTCGACACTCTGTGGCTGCCGGAGCCTTCAAATCCGGTATTTCTTTCCCCATTTCCCAAGTATCAATATCTGATTAGTGGCTGATGTGGCGCAGGGCACTTCGTGTCATCGTGGTAAGCCCTGTTTGCATCATGCAATATGAAAAGAAGGGTGTTGAGCAATGGGCTCTAGGCGTACAGTCAGAAATGCCCTTCTCGCATCCGTGCGCGTCCTGACAAGGACAGTTTGTCGGGTGAAAAGCCCCCATACTCAACAAAGGGAAGTGGGAATGGCACCGATGGGGCTGAAGGCGGTGGCGCGGGGCCATCTGAACCTCCGAGTGCGGCACGGCCACGCAAAATATCCGACGCGTCCTATATGCACGGCTCATCCGAGGGCGGCTCCGGAGGTGCCAATGTCGGGTACAGCAATGCATCAAGTGAGCGGCCTCTGCTTCTTCGTGTGGACTGGCTGATCGTTGTTGGCCCCCTGAACCCTTAGACCCGATGCCGTCGGCGGAGTCGGACGCAACCTCGCTTGTGACGTTGCGCCGCCCTCGTGCAAGGTTGGAGGTTGTCTATTCAGCCAGCCAGTTGCCGAGCCAGGGAGTAGGTCAGTGATTGCAATTTGACTATATAAGTGAGTTATAAGTTCGCAAGACTCATGGGCGCGCATGGCGGTTACCAGCAGGTTCGTTCCGCCCAGAACCGGAAACAGCTGTTGCTACGAAGGTGTCTATCCCTCCGGCGCGACCTTCCAAGCGCCCGTCCATGGCGTCCGCAGTTACCTCACCTTCGTCAAGCAGGCGGACGTTGCGAAGCAGCCACCGAAGCAGCACCGTGTCTTTGTCAACGGACAGAGAGTTGTGTACAATCGTCGAACTAATGTCGCCGACCATTCAGACTGATGAGAATGCGTCGAGAACACCAGTTTACGGCAGTCGGTCTCACGCGGACTCCCTTCTCGATGTCTATCGCAACACAGAATTGGTGCAGGCCCAGTGCGTTGATGTAGATCCGTTGTCTTCACTCTCCTATCTGTCTTCCAGCAGCAGCTCATTGAACACGGAATCCACCCAGGGTGATTTCTGCCAGGCTGCTGTCTTCTCACCCACTCAGGCTCCATTCCCTGCTTTCCACCTGCCCTTGACGCCCCGACGACCCACTTGGGATGGGGAGTCGCTACCATCGCTGAAAACGTCCACTCCACATAGCTCTCTCTCCACGCCTAGTCTAAGCTGAACGTCTTCGTTCCATCGCTCGCCACCGGTCAGCCCGACGGCTGCCACCTTGTCTACTCCAATGGATATAACTCCCATATCTGCGCACGGTGCCCTGGCGCTGGAGGCGATCGATGAAGTCAACCCTCCTGAGGACGCAGAATCGCTGCGCGATCTGTTCTACAGCGATACGTGGGCGAACTCGTCGCTTCCGATCCTGTCTATGCAGGCGCAATCTGATTCTGTCCATGAATGCGGCCCAAGTCGGGAGGTAGCACAAGAGAGGTCGACGTCGGACAGCGGGCCAGCTAGCAAGCGCGAAGAGCACAGACCGAAAAAGGTGAACATCACATCTGCGGTTGCAGTGTCGTCCTCGAGAAGCGGCTCTCCTGCTCAACATATCTCTCGCACGGTGGTCAACAGGTCAAAGCTAAGTGCAAGGAATGCTATCGCACGGCTCTTCACCAAGGATGTGAAAAAGACACAGACCGTGAAAAATCCTTTCCACTTCAATGGTTCCGCTCCAAACCTCAGCATGACCAAAGCTGAGGAGAAAAGGGGGGAAAAAGCGGCTGCGCGGGCACAAATCGACAAGCTGGCCATTGAGAGCTTACACAGTCCGCTGGAGGTGCACGCCCAGCAGAACGACCGCCTGTGTCATTAAGGTGGTGTGCTCGCAGCCCTCGGGGTGAGACT